TTAAGACAGTACTGTGTCTTAGTCATCTTTGATTCCACAATGCCTAGTTGGTGCCCTTTGCCTAATAGGCATTTAGTTAATGTTAGTGGAATGAATGAAGTAATTCATCCTGAAGAGATGAATCATATATGCATTGCTGATGAGCCGGGAGATTTCCTGAGTTTTCTCTCAAAACCCAGGTGAATTCTCAAGGAAGTATGACTGCACCATCACTGTTCCTAACCACAGTCATACATTTCCAGGGGGTAGTAAAGGTGGTAACATTATGAGACATTCATATACAAGTTATATCAAGTGACTGCACCACAATGCTTAGTGCCCAGTACACACAATATTGGGCACACAGTAGGTGCTAGCTTTTGTTTCCTTTTTCTCTTTCTCTTAGGTTTTATGTCAGGGTCACTCTAAGAATTACTAATGGTAGAGGAAATTGCATTTGTTTTAGGACAAATATTCATAGTAGTCAAAGGTTCAGTTTCAACACGCTATTCTTACAATTCTGCTGAGAAACAGAAGTCAGAGCAACTGACAGGTTGAACTTGTACACGGTATAACCTAGACAGTGACCCGTCCAGTTTCACAGTATTTTCTGGGCTGGCTATTCTAGTCACAGTGTATTCTAGAATTTTATTTTATTTACATATACATACACACAACATACACATATATATCTTTGATTTAAACGCAGACTAGCTGGTGGACTAATGGGTACAAAACTATGCTGTCTACCCTAAGTGAATCATTGTGCAGTATATGCGTGTATTGAAACAACACACTGTATCCCACAAATATGTTCAAGTAAGTGTTAAAATATTTTGAACAAAAAAACACAGATAGCCATGTTTTTAGAAGATACTTCTCTGACAAAAACAGTAGTTTCCATATTCTTCAAATTTTATTTTATTATGCCCTTTTAAGCCACATTATTTAGAAAGAGCTAAGTGTATAGAAGTTGTTATTGGCAAGAGGATACAGCAGCCCAGTAAACAAACCTGACAGGAGCCTAGTTTGTTACTAACCAAAATAAGGTTTCTCTCTAGTCTGACCAGTGATATTGCTATTAACTGAATGCTATTCTTTTTGTTTCCTTGATTTTTGGTATTAATTATATTTGATTGTCATATTACTATGGTTATTGTGTCAAAATGCAGTCTTGAAAATGATAAATGTAATCTCTGAATACATTTGTTATTTTTTTCTTTCTATTCAAGATAAGCTCTCATTGGAAGGAATAGTGGTACAAAGAGCTGAGTGTCGACCTGCTGCCAGTGAAAACTACATGAGATTAAAGAGGTTGGTGTTTTATAACATTAAAATGATAGCTGATATTTCCTTTTGGGGATTGAGACACATATAGTACTAGATTGCCTACTGATTACATAAAAACCAGGGATATTATTGAAAGTGTTTGCTTCAAAAGCTGTTTGGTCTTAAAACCACATAACAGTTTCTTTGGCTCTAGGGAATTTTGAGAACCTGGGCTGTTTATTTGAGGTGTTTTAAGCTACTATGTTAATATATCCTGGAATCAAAGTTTTTAAAACTACTTTTTAAATTGTCCTTGTAAATCTTGATTCTCCAAAGACAAGTAATACAATCTTTGTACTATTTTATTTTCAAAGGCTGTAATTTCCCCATAATGAAAATGTATCCAAAATACTATACTGTATAGAACTGTGGTTACTGGGGGTGGGGGGTGGGGTCGGCTCAGTGGGAAATTGGTTAATGGACGCAAAGAATGATTGCATTTTGTAGTGATGAATATACTAATCATCAGATCACCAGATTTGATCATCACATGTTATACACAGCTACTGATATTCAACTCTGTATCCCACAAATATGTATAATCAATTATGTTTCAATTAAAAAAAAACCCTATACTATATAAATCAAATATAGTTATTAACATATCATCCTTTTTTCTTGATCTACAGAGAACTTTTTATAAATTTATGTACTTTGTTAGAGATTTTGCTTCAGGATCTCTCCCTCCCAAATTTCATGTGTGGTTAACATTTTGTAATTAGTATTTAAAGGTGGTGATTGCAAATTCTTGATACCCCAAATTCTATAACTTTCAAAGAGTCAGCAATTTTTTAAACCCTGAAAAAATGTATTATACCTGTTTCATAGTTTAATGTATTTCATTTTCATGTGATTCAGAATTGTAAGTTTGTTTGTTTATTCATTCAGCACTTACTGTCTGCTGGGTGTTTTTTTTTAAGTACTAGGGAAATAGGAGTGAACAAAACAGCAGAAATCTCTGCCCTCATGGAGCTTCCATTTAGCAGTCCAAAGCACATGGAACCAGTAGTTGAGAACACACTGCTCAAGTGGTAGCAGAAGCTTCTTGGATATCAGCATTTTCATCTATGAAAGAGGCTGTTTGAGCTGGGTCATCTCTAAATTTCATATCATCTTTTAAATTTTTCTGCATTTCTTAATTAGTTTGGACTCTCCTGGGAATGACACAAAGGGACTGGTTTTCTTGTCCAATAATTCCTCTAATTTAAATGCCTCCCCAAGGTAGGTAAAAGGATGACAATCAAAATGAAAAGTTTTTATAACAGAAAATAGCT